GTACCACATGGACTGACTGACCTAGGCGTGAAATCGGGCCTCCGATGTGAAGTGCCTTCGACTAACGTCCTGAGCTATTGCACGGCCTTACCTTGACTGTGCTGAAGAGTAATGGCGTGATTTGCTTCACGATTCCGTGGTCAGTTTTGCCATTCGTTTTCCTTATCAGTGGCCTTTCTTGAACAAGGGCCAGTCACGCGAAAAGAAGATAACGTAAACCGTGTGCAGGAAGTACGAGAGAAAAATAAATCAAGGTAAAAGAAATAAATAAAGAAGCTAACAAAGGAAATTAAAGACACAAAAAGGAGGGGTGAAGAGATAATTAAAGAGAGGAAGAAATAAGAAACAGACACAGAAAGTGGTGAAATTATAAACCAGATACACTGAAACAAAGATAAAGGATAAATAACAAAACAAAGAAGCAGAGAGAGGTGGGAGGAGTTAGAAAAGAGAGGGAGAGAGAACGAGACAAAAAGCAAACGTAGGAAGAGAACAAAAAGAAAAGATGAGAAAAAAGTGAGACAGAAATAGGAATATGAATGGCAAAAAGAAGCAATGGGAAAAATATACAAAGAACATATGAGAAGAGCAAAGAACATCGAAGAACATAAAAAATAAAGAAAAGCACGTGGCATTGCTATGTGACTCGATTACCATCCAACCGGAAGCGATCCGACTAGCTTCATGTAACATTATTGTCCTGCCACATTAAATGTCGCTTATTCCAGCGGTGCCCTTCAAGACAGGCCGCAGTGCGGTGTGACTGATTTCACTCGTCATCCTGATGCAAGAGTCGGCCAAATTCTCTACAAATACGTTGCGCTGCCTTTCCAATGAAGTTCAACTTTCCAATCTGAACACCGGGCGGATGCGATGCATTTAGCATGGGACACTGGATTCGCTCTGCCCACTGCCTCCGACAAATCATAAACATAAAAGCTGAAACAATTGAATTGCATACGCAGACTGTCATGAAGTTGATCGTTCTATGGTTGCGTCACGACCTGTGAAAACAACCCAAGCACATTAGCCATTGGTCGGTTAAAGATGCAATAGAGTAATATTCAAACTGTACATTCAGAATCGAAAGTCATTTGTATGCCCCATTACGAAATTTCAACAGAATCAGGAAGAACCGAATCTAAATGGAAGATTTCAAATTTGTATGGTAAAATACGAGAGACAGTGCAAATCACAGAAACGATGCGAAAAGCCAGCAAATACATTCTTTGCATTGTAATTCCTTCCCATTTATAACTTTCATATCGCATTTTTCGGATTCACGATTAGACAGCTTAGCCGCCATGTTGTTTTATGACATATTAATAATTACGCAATAAAAACTGCTTAATTAAAAACATTTATTGTCATATAAAACTTCAGACATCGCATTGCTCTTTTAATCTATTGATTCTTGTCTTACATTCGTATCGGACAGGAATATGGAGTGATTTTAATAGGCGTTCCGCAGGGACTTAAACGCACACCAATCAGTAAGTGCGTCTAACGGTTACTCTGTTCTCTGACGATTTCGCTGTATAGAGCATATAAACTCGTAAAATCGTCCTTGGCTCATTTCCGTGTCTGGCGAGAGAGAGAGAGAACGAATAAGCAAAGGCGAGCATTGTGCTTTATTGTGGCCCGCGCTGGGTCGAGCCACAACACTGAGTGCCAAGTCATTATCACAGCGATCAAACGTCCAAGTTCATTACACCTGAGTCTGTAACCAACTTTCATTTTCGTGTTCAACAAATTTTAAGGCAAATTAACTTCTGTTTAGCGATGAGATTTTCACTGGTTAAGAATAATGATTAGCTACATTTCTAAAACAAATAAATATTTGGATATTATTAGAACGAAAAAGAAAACAGTTAGGCAGGTTCAGTAATTAATTAAACTATTATGATTGTAAGGGATATAATTGACCTCTTAAAACCTCATAGCAGTCTTGAGTTAGACAGAAAGACACTTAATAAGCCGAATCAGGGTAGCAGGCGGTAAATATCAAATCTGCTATGGTGGATACTTTTTGTATTTATTTAATGAACAGTTAATTGGAAAACATACGGAAGGAAGCGGTCGTGCCCTAATTAAAGGTAGTCTTCTATCCCGGAATTTGCTTGGGACGACCAAGGTTAACTACGAAAAGTGTGGTTTAAAATATTCGGCCTGTAGGCTGAGATTCGGACGTAACTCCTTCCGAATATAAATAAGAAGAGGTAACCAGTTAGCAGCGACGTTAGTTCGAAAGAAACATTTTAAAATTGATATCAATAAAATAAGATGTGAGGAAGGATACTGGTATTGTATTGGTGCATAATAGGGCTCATCGGTGGTGTTTGTAAACGGGACAATGAATGTTTTGTTACCCTAGATCAAGAGAATCTCTTGGCCAGCTGAACTGATATTAAATTTTAAGAGACACACCGCTCCCCTAGAACTGGGTTAAAAAATGCTAACTTACATATCGCTCACAGGTTGAAGGTTTGTCGTATTTTTGCTGCTCGATATTCTCAACACTGATAAACGAAGGGGTCCTAATGTATCACTGTCGCATTGTAATTGTTCTCCTGCGCTGAAATCCGCTTGGTAACAAAGCAACTGAACATGCGAACCACTGACACCATTACCAGCCCCTGTCAGTACAGCAACCCACGGAGCGAACACTCAGTATGACGAAATGGACGTCATTAAATGAATAACACAATTTAAACGTCGTATTTAAATTTTTAAAATGAGTGGAAACGTCCACGAGGTATATAGATTTGAAGCGTAGAAGATACATGAAGCCACTAGCCATAGAAGTTTCCAGCCTCGTTGTTGAAGAACTCCCGCGTAGAATAAGCATAGAGCTGAAATATCGAAGAGCTGGACACAGCATAGATGAGGTACAGATGCAGTTTAGAAGGGACGGAGGTACTCGGAAACTGAAGGGCTGTTGAAAAGTACGTGCAAGGCGCGTGCATTGCGGGTGGGTAGACAGACAGGCTGCGGGGCGTCGTCCATTCTGAATAAGCTATTCCTTGTTTTCAGCGCCCACACAGTTTCTCCTTCGTTAATATTTACAAGATCACCATTACCAATCAGCATAACTTTCATTAGCAGTAAGCGCTACCGGACGTGAATCCCAATAATGACAGGAGAAACTTGCACATTCCATCAGAACATGACGCTCGGCTTCAGGCCGCATCTCAACACGAGAACCTACACGAGCAATCACGCGGATTAGGGGGATGATTGTTCATTTCTCGTCACGTTTCAGAGGTCATACTGCCTCCGTCATCAGGGCGATGAATATGAATATTCATCGCCCTGATGACGGAGGCAGTATGACCTCTGAAACGTGACGAGAAATGAACAATCATCCCCCTAATCCGCGTGATTGCTCGTGTAGGTTCTCGTGTTGAGAAACATCGACCAGACTACACAGCGCAACAACCCAGAAGACAGAAATCTTGATACTCTGATGACGGAGGCAGTATGACCTCTGAAACGTTGGTAAACATCGACCAGACTACACAGCGCAGCAACCCAGAAGACAGAAATCTTCATATTCATCGCCCTGATGACGGAGGCAGTATGACCTCTGAAACGTTGGTTAACATCGACCAGACTACACAGCGCAATAACCCAGAAGACAGAAATCTTCATATTCACCGCTGTGAGAACCTCAAGTCTTACAGGAAATTATTTATTACTACATTTCACTTATGCAAAGAAAATGTAACAAATAGTTGTAAGGAAATTTTGCGTGCAAATGTAACATGTGACGTAATATCTTGAAATATTGTGTCGGAATTTGAAGTGATCATTGCTGCTACAAATATATAGCATATGAAGACATTAGCAGAGTATGTATTTTTGTATAATTTTTCGCGTCGATGCTTTCAAAAGCGTCACTTCAGAACACAGGTACGTACTACGTTTGTTCACTGCCCACGTACTTCGACATAGCTTTGGTGTATGTTCTTAACTAGATATAGAGTTAATTCTAATAGATGCGGATATTTGGTTCAACGACCAGGATAAATAAATCAAGAGTGAAATTTAAACGGGTTGCATAATGATATTCTTGTATCATCCATTAATACATACAGCTATATAACAGGGAAGACACTATATCTAATCTTGTTTGGTAAAGCTGAGGAAAACCACGATAACTTCAATGAGGGTATAAGTCTTAGAGATCACGAATCTAATCGAAAACTAATCAGATGCTAGCATTTCAGTTTCTGCGTTTTATGAAATCTTGTGTGATCGGATGTAACAAATATCAACAAATCTTAAAAAACAAAAGTAGTACTTCCCGAGGACAAGACAGCGAGAATTTGCAGCTAGAATCGGCATGGGTCATATCTCAGTCGCCATTAGTAAAACACTCTTATACATCGATTAATCGATGATCGAATGAAGGAGGATGTATGTGGCTCAAATGAGGAAGATGAAAACACGTACAAATTTTGGTTGGAAAGAGGCCACTAGGAAGACCTTGGCGTAGATGACAAGATAGTATTGAAATGAATAAGAAGAAATTAGGGTTGAAGGGTGTGAACTAGATTCATGTAGCTCACAATAGAAACCGACTCTTGTGAATTCGGTAATGAACCCTTGGGTTCCATAAAACGCGGGGTATTTCTTGACTTGTTGAGCGACTATCAGCTTCTGAAGAAGTTCAGGATTATCAAATAAATAACACAAAATCCCTTGAGGTATTTTTATATGATTTAATATTCGTATTAGTTAAATTACCACACAGCATAGTTGAAATTATTTTGAAAATACGGACTTCAGATCACAGATCTCTGGACTGAGGATTGGGTATGGATACGTGTTTTGAAAGTGAATTAACCCAGAGAGAGTTATATACGAACTCGTCCTCACTTTTTAGTTTGGGAGATGTGAAGAGGGGGAGTTTGTGATGCGCTAGTGGGGGGACAGTAGATTGTTTTGCTGTATATAAGATTGGGGTCGCTGGGCGGCCCGCGGTAGTGAGAGTGAGTGGCCGGCCAAGTGACTCGTGTAGTTGTGTGGAGTGCTCTGGCTTGTGCATCGGAAAAGACGTCTTTCCGGGCGAAATGAAGGTAGGGCCGGAGTTTGTGCAAACTTCGTTAAGCTCCTCCGCGCCGGTTTCATCTCTCTTGTTTTATTGCCATAGCAACGTGTGATTGTTTCTGTTGAACGGCCAAGTAATTGAGGGAACGTGATTTCAGACCAGTGTTAATAAACGAGATATCTCGTGCGTAGCACGGAAAGGGTTAAGATCCTGAAAAGTTGTATATGAAGCAGCCATGAGGCATCTGACTTGTCAGTGAATTTAGTCGGGTTTCGGGTCATTGGTTACTAGTTTAATAGCTGCGTATTCTTAACTGTGTAGGTTACACTGAGTCAGAATGGATGAAGACTTTGAATGACAAACGGGGGGAGATGTGTAAGGAAGGTGCCATGGCCTACATTAAGATAATGGCCCAGTACTTGCCTGGAACATCTGATGTAAATCAAAGGACAGTCGACAATCGGATTAAGATTCAAACCCGAGACCTCCCAAATACTAGTGAGCGTTTTACCCTTGGATCAAGGTTAATCGTAAATTAATTTGATTTTGTTATTTTAGGACGATGTATTATATCCTTGTCTAATAAATTGTAGAATGAGATATAATTTTCAGGATTGCCAACACTGTCGTGAGTATTTTCTCAGCTGATAACTTGAAGAAGTCGGGAAAGTTAGGAAAAGCTCCAGGAGAGTCGATACTGGAATGAGATTACAAAATGAACTTCGCGATTACGAGTCAGACAGGTTTTTTTTTCAGAATTCAGTTTTCTCACAGTTTTACTCATTCACGTCAGACTAATTGTCAGAAAGTATCTTTAAAGAGGACACCATATGAAACGTCTCGCTTTTTTATCTCATCACTAAGTGTGGGCCCTAAGTTAATTAAAGTTTCAGGCTTCAGCTGTTTCTGCGCCTGCGCAAAAGCGCCTTTTATTTAAACTCACTGGGATGTGGCACAAAGACCTAGCTGAAGCAGAACAACGTTATCAAAACACATATCGCGCTGCGAATGTCAGTTGTCAAGAAGCCACTTCGACTGCATGAGAGAATAGTAAACCGTGTAGGTGGCTTTCAGATGAAGTCCCATTTTGTGGCATGTATATATCTCATAAGCATTAAGCACACAAAAGTGTCCCATCAAATAAGTATATTTGTAATAATAATATAGAGTCTATTTGAAAGATAATTCATGTGTGTTATTTAGATGTTACAATCTGTTGAAACTATCACAAAATTTAAAATTTCCTCCAATATTTGTGACATCAAATTTAAATTTTTCGTATTCCTAGAATTTGTAGTAACACGCGAATTCTGTATAAATATATTCTATGGTTTATTAAATACATCACATTTAATCGAGCTGTTGGGTGTCTAGCGAAGTACAGCGAAATGAGAATTAATTTAATGCTAATCTGTTAACTTGTAGATCATCAAACCCATACTCAGTTTTAGTATTCTACTAAACACGGGTATTTGTTAGAAAAAATTTCAGTACTTATTTCGCAGAGACGTAACCGATATGTAGAACGGATGTCACACAGGTAAACAATAATCCATGGTATTACATGAAAATCCTGAAGGAAATGGATTACGTACAAGTTGATTATGATTATGAGAATTAAAGGACTTAGTTCGTAGGATTACGAGTCCTAATATTGTATTAGCGGTCGATACGACCTGGTTTGATTTCTACATAATCAATATGCAAAACTCAGAAAGCAGCTCACGAACATAATAAATAATCATTAATTGAAGAAAGAACAACTGGAAGTATATTTACCTTACGCGGAAGAAAGTATTAGATTGTGCGGTAGGTACAGTCTATTATTAGTTATGCTCTGGCTCCGGACTGGTTCGTCCCGCTCGTGCTCGTTGCGACAAGGGCTTCATGAAGCGATGAAGTGGCGACTGGTGACGTTTGACTTGTCGGATTCGTGATGATACAGTTTAAGGGACAGTATAAAATCAGATTACAAAAAAAGAATCAATGTTTGGTATAAATTTATTCATCCCCAAATCAAACACCGGGTGTTTGTGCGGGTGTTAACTAACACCGTACATTGAGAAGCTGGCAGTCACCCAGGTGACCAAAGAATAATCTGCATTTTATGGACCAGTTATAATATAACCCTGATGATTATTTTGGTGATGTTTCAGTCACAGAGAAATGTTTGTTTTCTTTCATACGTGTAAATAATAATTATTGATATTCTATTATTTACCTTTTCTTGTTGTCACGTTAGATACAAACTGCAAAATTATATTTGTTACTGGCTTTTGTTATTTATTTATACATCAGGACCCTTCTATTTCCTCACTGAGAAGGTAACACCGTAGGCGTATGATATGCATTACGCAGCAATTTTATATACTTATTTTATTTTTATTGGTTTTAGGGGGCATTTTTGAAGAAAAATATGTGCTTTGCGTGCAAAATAAAATATGAAAATAATTTGGAAATATTATAGCTTTTGGTTTCGCGACGATAAGAATTCGGAGTGTGGTCTTCTGAGTTCTGATGAAGGAGTCAAGACATTTCGCCGAAAGGCTGGAAACCACTTATAAGACTACACGTTGCCATAACCCAGAAGTCCGCTACAGAACTAAGCAACTTACATTTCAAACGTGTTTTGACTTGGCGAATGATTATGCATAACTTAATAACAAGCGAAAATTGTCCGATTCTGCGTTAAGTAGATTCATGTCGTACTATTGACTATGCTACAGTAGTGTGGTTTCTACCGTACACAACATCAAGGCATTTCAAAAAAAAAGTCGTTTAGTTGAAAAAAACAGTTTATCAGTTTATATATGAATAGAAAATAAATAAACCCGGTCATAAATGTATTAAATAAATATTGTATGTGATATGAAATTGAGACCGGAAGTGTGAGGCACAAATGAAAGTAGCATTTCCGTCACTCAGATAACATATCCGGTGCCAATTACCTCACGGGCTACATCGTCAACTAGAGCAAGCCTGAATTACATTTTGGAATTCGGGATATTTTACAAGAAATTACGTTCACGAAATAATTAATAAATAATCAGTTGCTCTGTCCAGCCCGTGACAAGAGGACCTGATAAAAGGTACATGCTTGACAGTATAATTATAAAAAGTATCATTTCTACTAGCGTACTACATCAGCAAAAGTTTTGCTTTCAGCATAATAAATATGCGTTGTTTTTGACGGAAATTACCTGTTGTGAAATTTAAAATATAGTTGTATCAGCGTAACTTTGTCAGCACATCCTGATTTATTGTAACCAGCGTCACCACTAATACTTCGTAGTCGTATTGAGATAAGAAAGGCTTCATACCTTAACGCATCTGTGATATCCTTAACGTAAAAAGTCGTTTAAATCTCAGTGACTTTTAAATTCGGGACTTTCCAAATTAAATTTGAACATAAAGTGAAAATCACTAATGCGAACCACCAAGCTCAGTGATACGCCCACAGTGACTTCCTAGTTCCGCAAACGCCTTGTAAGTTTTCTCTGCAATTTTTGAACACACAGCCACTGAGAAATAACATTAAACTTGAATTTCTATGAAAATGTGCAGGCCTGTAACACCCGAATCTGATTGGCTTCTGAGTTACAAGAGCTCCCTCTACAACTTTTCGTCATGACCCAAAAAACACTACAAAATAAAAATCACAAACTTTCTTCTCAAGTGGGAACAAAACACGTTAATTTAGCCTCTCTTCTGTGTGATTGTTTCAACACTTTTAAAAAGAAACAATTTGCATTCATCTGTCACAGAAATTAACACGTTGATTCCCGTGGGAGTCACCGGTGAGTCCTGAGAATAGGTTTGAAAACCAGATGTACCATTTATTGGAGGCGCAGTCTTAACACCATAGCTTGAACAGGAAAGATGCATGAAGTTTGCAAGTTCAAGCACTTCGCACATAATAAGAGTTCTGATTTTTTTCTAGGCCTACAATAGGGCGAGGGCCACCGGTTGAACAGTGTATGAAAATTATGCCCGGCAAAAATCGCAAGGGAACCAACGAGTTAGATCTGCAATGAAGTCAAGATGGTCCATTAAATGTACAATAAAACTGTTTCTGGTGTAAATACTTTCCAGTCACAACGGACAGACTGAGCACTGTTATTCAGGGAGGTCGACACAGCGTTCTGAAGCTGGACCTCCTGAACTTGAAACAACAGAATAAAGTTTGGTCGTAGTTCGTAATTTTGTAACAGGAGGTAACAGCCCAACGCAATGATGTGTGAAACCAGCACAGTGGTCATTAACCATGACAATAGGTGCAACCTCTGACCTGCTGATCGCTGTTGTCGAGAAAGCAGAAGGTCGAGGGCTGTTCGCGACCCACTAGTCGCTCGTCCTTGACCTCCATACCCTGCCAATACTTCACACACTTTCCTTACCACAGCGAGGCAGTCTTCAGTCTCAGGCTCTTTGGAGTACAGAGTTTTATTCATTAGGCATACATAGGACTATCTTTGTTTTACAGATTCTTTGAAGTATCGGAACTGAAATGGTTTCATGGTGTCCAATAGAAGTGTGATTATGAATGATAAATTGGTATGTAGCTGGAAGGAAATTATCAACTAATCTATGGAGCAGATTAATTTTCAAAAGGCTGGGAGTCTCTGAGATAGTGAAGAAATGTTCCACCTTTATGGGATCTGAATGTTCATTACCGTGTTCACAACAGCCCGCCACCAGTACTTGCCTTGATCCAGATGAATCCACTTCAAATCCTTCCACCCTATTAAACAAATATTATTTTTAATTTTAACCCACCTAGGTCTACCATATGGTCTCTTTTCTTCAGGTTATTCAACCGAAGTGTACGTTTGCCTCGCCCCTCCATGCCTGCTACAAGTGCCACCAATTTTTTCCCAGCAACTTTTTCTCAAATACTCTCATGAGTCTTCCTTTAATGTGAGAAACAAAGTGTCACGCCCATACAAAACAACAGGTAAAACTGCAGTTTTGTATGCTTTAATCTTTACGTTTCTAGATGGCAGAATGGAAGATAAAAGATTCTGAACTGCCTGGTAGCAAGCATTTTCCGAATTTAATCTTAATCTTAATTTCGTTGTCAATGCAATTTTGATCTGCTACAGTCGTTTCCAAATATTTGATCTTTCTCGCACATTTCATTAATTTAATAGCTGTCTTTATACGAATATTTTGTTTTGTAGTCTGGTGACAAGAACATGTATTTCGTTTTCCCTGCATTTACTTCTAAATTAACCTTATTAGATTCTGTTTATTTATAGAATTTATATTTTGCCCATTAGGCCTGAATTAACGTCATTATCATATGCAGATAATACGTCCCATTTAAATCCACTCTTTGTTTTCGTGGGCCTTCCTACTTGTTTACTCCATAAAAAGCTGTCCCACTATACACCATGTAGGCGCTTGGAGGGTGAGTGGTCAGCATCACGCCCCGGCCGCGCTTAACCCCTGGGAAAGGACCCCGATACCCATTGGAAAGTAGGCTGGGTGGGCTCCAGAACCGGTTGCATATTCTAAGGCAAAGTTGAAAGCAATGGCGACTAGTCTTGATGTTTCAGACCATCCCGAGAAGTAAATACGTTAGACAAACGTTCACTTATAGCAACTTTCTACAGAAGGATGTTCAAATAATGAATCATTATATTTTATGAAAGTATGAAAATATATTAATCGCTACATTACATGCAAGATACTAAATTCATGTTTAGTTAAAATATTGAGGTTAGGTTTAACAAATAATCCTGAGGAGATGAAAATTGACAAGGTTTTCACTTCATACAATTCTCGTATTTCTATTGTTTGATTGGTTTCATGTTCTTCTTTGCAATTCTCTCTTCTTCTTTCAACAAACGTCGTGACTTGTTCAAGAACCACAATTGCCTTCTCTTTACAAGCTGAATGTGTTAAGTGGTTACTTGAAACACGAATCTGTGGCATTTGGTTCTTACGAGATTAAAATTAATCTTGGGCAAACCATCGAGTGAGATGGATTACAATATCTAAAGATAATATCCGACGCCTGCATCCTGTGTAAAAAGATTCCAAATTTAACTCTTCATTTAATGTATTGTAACTGAAGGGATTTAACTATGGGAATGAAAATGCCCTAAAAGTTTTGTGATATACTGTTAACACTTTTTATGTTACTAACGAAAATATATCGTTTACCGTTCTTCCCCGTAAACCTTTCGTGTGATATTATTCTATGAAGTGATGCATTCTTTCAATTGCTAGACACTTTAATCATTTACAATATCCCACAAAGTGAGCATAAAATTTACCAAAAAAAATATATATATAATACAAAGCACATATGAAAATTCTCACCACCGAAAAGGTTAATAGCACTGGTTTCCTTCTTTCTGGTCACAGTGCTGTGTCGTGCTGGTGTCTCTGGCGGTGGTACTTGCGACGTCACAGGAAGCTCCCGTTTCTGAAGAAAAATCAGAAGAATCGGGAGATAAGCTTTTGGACAGCGGTGAGCGACATAGGAGGTCCGGAGACGTCATCGGTTACATAAGCAGTAAACTAGCACCAAAGATATCGGCTTTCGCATCAGCTTCTGCTGGAATATCATCGCTGTCATCAGAACCAAAACCCGAGTATGGGCCCCCGGTGAGTTATAAGTGCATCAACAACAAAGCGAGCGTACGGGCTACACAATATTAAGCTATTCTAATGAAAGTTTTTGGGTTTTTTCCTTACCTATCTTCATTGAAGTGAGATCGTCAATCTAGATAAATGTCTAATTTAGTAATTAATTAAGTATAACATCTATTCAGTTGTACGGAAAGCTGGCGTGCATATTCTGCAATTTTGCTGTAAAATAAACATAAGTTTGTTATCAACTGCCATATACACCTTTGTTTTTTTACGATTATAATTAATAGTTATAACCTGTCTCAATCATCACCTCATCAACTGCATGAGGATCACAAAAATTTGCAAAAAGGATTTTTGTTTCTATCTTATTTTCTAACCAATAATCTCTGCATGAGGATCACAAAAATTTGCAAAAAAGATTTTTGTTTGTATCTTATTTTATAACCAATTGCTTATCAATAGAAACATGTTTCTTGTTGTAGGCTGAAGAGGCTAAGTCCTTTGACATCTGGGCATTTAAGAAGGCGTTGCTTAGTACTTTATTACAAGCCGCTAAGGCTATAAAGGGTGGACTCATCGCAATTAAGGGCCAGATTATTAAAGCTAAAGGCCATTTCTTAAGCGCAAAAGGACGTTACATTAGTGCAAAGGGAGAGGCCATTTCTAATTTCGGCAAGCAGGTAGCCAGTACAGCCCTCAATCTGGATGCGGCGAAAGAACATTCACCTCACCCTTCAGCGCCTTCTCACCCGACGGCTCACTCCGCGGGGTATTTGTCTGGACTCACAGGTTCATCAGGTAAGGCAGAGATTACTGTTAGACACTCTAATAGTTAAAGATAAGTGGTCACCTCTTTGTCTTTTAGGCGACACGTTAAGTGCGCGGGTAATTTATCTTTTAACTTTAACGTCAGATCTTCTGTACTTCCTTCATCAGGGCGAAGATGGGAACAGGAAGAACCTCTGAAATGTCGATGAGTTTCTGTGAGGCTACACGGCTCAACAACCCTGAAAGAAGTCATCTTCAAGTTGATTTTTGTTGGCATGAAGTAGCTGTAATAAAAAAGCTCTTTCACTCCTCACTTGCACTCATTGGCTTCGGTATTGCCCGTATGTCTTCCCGAGCATCTTCCGGGCAATTGTGGTCCATGATTCCACCGCCAATAATCTCAAACATTACAGAGTCTACCCAGTTTCTGAGAGATTATGATACTTACACTTTGTAGACACATCCATATCTTCACTTGTAACAGTGTAATCTGTTTATCAGGTTACGGGTCGACGGGACCAGGGTATGTAAGTGGCACGGGGTACGGCGTACCTCCCCCGCAAATCAGCACTGGTTACGGAGCCCCGACCGCCCCCAGCGGGCTGTACGGAGCCCCTTTCAAAATATCAGCCAGGGGCTCTTCAGGGAAAACAGCGTCACAGACAACCAAGAGCTCTTCATCACGTGAGTATGATGGACATTTTGCCACTGCTCCACACAGTAGTTGAGAGTTCATGCAAAGAAACTGGGCCGTCATACATGGATACAACCTATGAATCGATCTAAGTCATTTAACGATACTGTATCAACTAAAGCAGTTATTTAGGTTCTGACGATGTAGGATGGTGATAAGGTTCGGTGACCTTGCAATTATTGGGTAGAAACAGATCGTGCTCGACTTTAATGTTGCTATCTCGTAAATAGCCTAAGCCGGAAAAGTCGGTGACTCGAGAGGGGTTCGAACTGAATACATACGAAATATATGATCCTGTCTGAGCCAGAGTGTTTGGTGTATCTGCCATCAGCTAAATGCAGTAACTTTCTAGAGTAATCTTCTGTTCCACTAACACCCGCTGTGAATGAGGCATCGCAGAGCATAATTCCTGCTTACTTTCATTTGTCTTTCACTTTTGTGTTTTATAAAGGTCACAATAACTTGTTTTACGTTTAGGCTTCCGATTTGTCGTTAACGGTTAATAAGGAATTGGTAACCTTTGAAGCAAATTTAGTAAGAGTGAAGTTTTGAATTTTGACACCTGACACTACGCTGTCTACCGTCGTAGAATTTTTAATGACATTTTATTAAATCCATAATTGGTCTCATATGCCGCTTCTAAATGCCGTACTATAGCTCAGCTGGCTTGCCTGTTTGACTCCAAGCGAAACTTACGGTTAACGAAGTGGCAGTGAAGTAGGTTTCTTTCCGAGTTCATTGGTTAATCATCATTGCCCTGACCAATCAGAACATTATCATACCCCGAGTCATCAGTTAGGGTCTTCATCAAGTCTCTCCACGCAGATATCGGAATCATAGCTTCAGTTAGACCAAGATTGTTGCTTTACTCCGTATCTTTCGAGTTAATTCGAAATATTTTACTTGTTGTGTTTTGTGATAATTCTAAGACATTTATTTTGAAATATGAGTGATACTTTTGTAAAGTTCAGATACTTGTAGTTTCTCGGACATCGTACAAGCAAGGCCGTTGACTCGCTCTAAACCTGCATAGAAACGTGCCACTGTTTACCGGCGACAGAAGGGGATTGGGATGATAACTGAGCAGTCAGACTGGTCGATTAGAAAGCGAACCAAGGGCTGTTAGGATCTTAGGATACCCAAGGTTTTGTGAGCACAGACGATGCTTATTGCTGCTTCTTAAAGCTACTTAAAAGCACTGTTTTAACTGAAGTGGTTAAATAGCGTTGAATCAGCTGGAAAGATGAATGTGAATGGTGAACAGGAAGTGATTTGGAAGATGTTCGTGGATAATTTGAAGGTAATATATTGGAATTTGCCTGTACATACTAAACTAACCTATTGAAAATATTAGAGAGAACATTGGAACCTGCGTAAAGTAGGTCAGTGTGAGCCACCACAAGTTTTCAAGTGTGCCGCGAGTTTTTTTTAATAAGAAATCGTGTGTTCGTACGTCATAGTTAGAAAAAAGGCAATATCTTATCTTTCATAATTAGAATTCGGTAATGTTGACTTAATATGCCCGTATTTTATACTAAAAGTATTTGCATGTAGATGGGCCTATATATTTATGGTTATGTGCAGATTCGTAACAAACCCCCTTTTTGTGAGGCGACATTTTGTGGTGTGCCGTCATGTGTCTGTGATAAATTAGGGTGTGCCGCGGGTGGAAAATGTTTTGAGCACTGAAGTAGGGCACTAATAGGTTCTGAAACACCGCTGTACTAACTTGCTTGGTGTCAGACAACATGCCACTCCAAGCCACAACAAAAATATGTAATATGGCGTTGTCATAAATATTATTCAAATAAGTGACCGTAATCCAGTTGGTGTATAGTGCGTGTCCTTACGTGTTCTGTAGTCTCTGCGATAAGCTGATCCCTCATCATGGGAGTCACGGGAGTTCCATAATGTGTCCATATAGCTGTATAATTAAAAGTAATTATGGCGTACTAGTAAACGTAGAGGACAAACAGTAATTAAGAACCTGTCAAAGCTGAACAAGTGAAAACTGCTGTGTAATGCGTTCTCTCAGTTTACAGGGAACGAGAAAATCTTCTGGTAATAATTTACACACAGTTAATTCAGAATTTTAATTGTATATGCAGAGATTTGTTGGAAATGTAAATGAATGAATGATAAAACAATTTAGTGATATGTTTTTTACGTGATTCCCCAACACACTCTTTTCAATTCATCTATATCCACAATCCATCACAGTATCTGCGATTCAGTATTAGACATTTCTTCTTACTTACTTGTCTTCCAGTGCCCCCAGGAGCGCACGCCGGACTCCTGGTGATCAAACCTATTCCATCGTCTGCCTCTTCAAGCGGCGGAGCGCGGGCGTCGTCCCACGGAACGTCCAATCTGCACGATTTTTTTGGAGCGCCGTCTCAGGCCGTCGGGACGTTTGTTGCTGCTCCAGCGCCCTTCTCTCCCTCAGCTGTCGGCAGGCGGATGGATCTCAGTTCCTACGTCGAGCCTCAGAGCGACTACAGCATCCTGCCAGCCTTCAGTATGTCATACGATCTATAACAGGTGAGTGTCAGCAAACTATGACCTAGGTCTGATTTCTACTTATTTCCGTTGCTGGTGATCCAAAGGCAGCATTTAGGAAGGTTCGCAGTCTTAAGTAGCGCCCAGTAGCTTCTTCTGTCCGTCCGTCCATCCGTCCGAAAGAATGAAACAAATCGAGAATAAAACCGATTTTAATCAAATAAGTTATTGGCGAGTTTATAAAAAGTTTTGAAGCCACTTAAATTTTTGTTTAGATCGGATAATTTCTATAAAAAGCATATATTTTCTTGGCCTTACCTCAATATTGCTCCAAACGACATTCACCTTAGTTGCCATGAGGGCGAATCCTCCGACACGATGCCATCCAGCCAAACACCTCGACTCTGCAAAGTCCATTGAATCTCACGTAATTAGCACAAATTTCAAATGGGGAGGGTTAAATTTTGGAGGAAGCAAATAATTTTTACGTCGTGCGTACAGTTTCAAATTTGTTTAGTTTATTAATATATATATACTTCGGATAAAAATACCTGATTCACTGAATGACTAGGAGATCGCTTAACGACGCCCTTTCAACTACGATGGTTGCGTAGAATGATAATGTTCATGAATGAAATTTAAATAATAATTTAAAAGATTTGAAGTTACTATCCACCCACTATGTTGATGATGCTGAGGTAAGCCACGAAAACCTCAGTGTAAGTGAAGCCGGTAACCCGGCAGAGATACAAACCGAATACCTCCCAAATACAAGTCTAGAGAGATACGACTACAGTAACCTGCTCAGCGCTTTGATTTCATTCGTCAGCAACCTCCCACTTGTAGGTTTAATCG